TGAAGCAACGGATGCGCAAGGTGTCGTTGGATTCCCGAGAAATGATTGACAAGTATGCAACTCGGGCGAGGCAAAAGACGCGGCAGAGTGAAAAGTAGCAAAGCTATTCCTGCGGTTGGTGTTTCCTCTCGACGCCAAACTCGCCAACCAGCCAACCGAGCACCCTCACCCTCGTGTCAGGCATATCATTAATCTTGCTATGTTTTCTCGCGCACTCGGATGTGGATTTAGACTCAAGACGCGAAGATCTCTGGAAACGTAGGTTAAGGCGTCCACCGCGGGCTCGGCACCGTTTGTCTTCATTCGAACCCCGAGCCAATCGAACCTGGCTGCTGCCCTCTTCCGACGCGACACGACCGTCCGCGTCCGCCGAATGTCGCGAGCCAACGCACCCGTTCCAATAACGATTCTACCAAACGTTGCGATTTCTTTTCTGTCGGCGGATCGATGAGCCAAACTTTTCGAGCAGTCTTTTCGTCGACTTTTAATGCGAAAAATTGCTCGCCAAGGAGTAGAAGAAGCATTTTTGGAGTAATGAGAAATTTTATTCCGCATCGAAAGATTCAGTATTTCTTGTAGATAATAAAATTTTGAAATTGTTAGTGTATTTTGTTACATATTGACACTATTTTGTTGCTGTCAGATAAGTCGTAGAATAATTAAAATGAAAATGATGGAAAGAATGCAATTAAATAGTGTCAGTGTTTTAGAAAATTGAAGCAGTTTCAACCTGTTAATTTTGAACATGCATGCGTATGTGCGTAGGAGTTTATTGATAAACTTAATTGCTTTATTTGCAATTAGTCTGCCATCGTTGATCTGAGTTTGAGGAACTGAACTTTATTCGGGGCTGTTCAGAATTCCAAGACTTTTAATTGGTCATGGTATAATTGTGACTCGAGAGCTGGGAAACCAATTATAGCGCAATTTCAATTTCATTTCTCCACCATTCTGATCGGCTTAAGTCACGTAGCATACAACCACGTTGCGAATACTGCTGCAATAACTTCACGCTTCTTTCACTCGGAGATATCAAACGGGATTACAAGTGCACTGTTCAATTTACTAGGTTCAGTCGTAATTAATATAAATAATACTGTTTCAAGCGTCAGTCATCCTATGTGTGTATTCCCTCTTAAGAATATCTCTTGCCCAAGATTGAATCGCGTTGTTCCTTAATTGGAGCAATTATACACGATGTCTCACAAAACACGAATACGAAAGATTTATTTTCAATCTACAGCCATTATTCATTTCCAGTGCGCAATAACTCGGTTTCCGCACTTTAACTTCGCGATAAAGCATAAAATTATTGCCTCGTTTTTAAAATAAAATCTTCATTTTGTAAAACATCTCCATTCTTGAAACAGAAGTTCCATTCCCAGCGATAGGATTTAAATATTATTGGAGTCTGAAATATTCTTGGAGGTTTTTCGAATTTTTCAAAATTGAATTTTCTAGATTTTCTGAATTTTCTTTAAATACATATTGAAATTACAGCTCGAAAGAAACCGAATATTCGCCCTAACTCAAGACTATCGAGACAATCAAGACTTGCGAGAGTTTTATACATTGTGTTCGAAGTGTCACAGATCCGATCACTATCTGCACCATGTCACCACGCGTTAAACTGAATTTCCACTAACGACGTAATCGCGACAGACGATCGAATGTGAATCAGGTCACGCTGCTCTACCATCGTGCGGAAACGAAGTTTTGAATCGCGAACGCAGGTGCCGCACGAAAAAAGCGCACGACTAACAAACCTATGGGGAAAGGGGAACGCAGGAACGCCGGAACGAGCGTTCTTGTAAATCGAGCCTAATGGAGAAACGCGTGCATCGAGCTGATGAACGTCCGGTTAGCAGTAACGCGGTTTTTACCGTTTACCCAACACCGTTGGCTCGCGACCATTCTTTCGCAATTTTCGTATAACTGATGACGTTTTGATGGAGAACGATGTTTACAGGCGAGTTAATGACCCCGAAACGAGACTGGCGATTCTAATGAAGAAATTCACGTCGAGCTCGGACGAGAGAAACGATGGTGGCGAGGAGAGTTCTTCTGCCGGCTAAGGACACTTTGATGATGTTTGCGTATTAACTAATGATCCTCTCCACCTGTATGAATTCCTTGATGGAGGAAATTGCGGCTGAAATTGATGCGCGTGCCGCTGTTAACGAGCCACGTCCGTCGCGTGAAATGCGCGCTCTGCCCTGTCTGTCGGTCTCCTCGCGCCATTTTCGTCGACGTTGGTTAGCGCAGCTGTTCGACGTTTTTCCAAAATGCGACACTCGAAAGTCTTTATTTTTCAGCGCGAATATTTTGCGAACGATGAACGTAATTATGTAGACTGACGTCAATGCTCCAATAATGTCACAAACAATTCATAGCAAGATTTAAGGTTAATTAAATTTTAACGCGGCAAAATTAAGTGGCTTAAATTTTAGTAGACTAAAATTGTGCATATTCTGCGTATTCTGTGACCGAGATTAGTTAAGAAATTAAGTTTTGAATTATTGTTAAATTAATTTGCATTTCTAGTTCCTTTAGCGAGAATTTGAATTTGAATAAAAACAAAAATTCATATAGGATTATGATCCAAGAGGTAACAGAAAAATATGTAGTTCCTTGAAAAGGACGATTTTAAGGAATAAATAACACGCAAGAAGTTGGCCGATGCTATAAACGTTCTCCTCGTTAATCATAACAGCCAAAGTACGCTTCATCAGCCTTTGAGTAAGTTTTCTATTAGTCGTGCTTAAGTTTTTCCGTGGTTGGCAATTCGTTCTGAATTGCAGATTTTCCGTTTTCGTAATTACTGCGGGCGCTATTACCCCTTTTTTTCTTTCTATCGTATACAAGCAATCTGTAGTACGTCAAGATTACATACTGCGATTAGCTGCTCATGTATTATAAATGAATTAATATGCGATAACGAGGACGAATTAAACGAAGTTTATTTGAATCATTGTCGCATCTCACTCGCACAACAGTGAATATGTAAATTAATTGGTATGAATTACAAATTTTGTAAGAACAAATTAATTCTTTTGTAAAACAAGGATCATCAAAGATCCCTAAAAAACGATCCATCGATCCCTCATTTCATTCTCCATTGAAATAAGTAATTATCTGAGTGTAAAAGGAATATCAGAAATTTTATAAGTGAACTGTGAAGCTTTCTGTAAATTTATATTTTTATGAAGACAATCAAGAAGATAGGTATCTCTCTCACTCTTTAAACGTTACGAGTTCTTTTACTTTGAATTTTCGTTTAAATTTCTCATAAGTGCATAAACATTCACAGTCTCGTAAATACAAACACTTATAAATTAATACTTAAAAATTGCGAAAAACTTTGATTATTATTAACTCTCGATTTAAAAAAAAAAGAAAGTCAATCAATATAAGATGATTATTAAAGATTCCAACTGGTCTTCAACGTTGATCCCAGACACGTAACGCAACTTCAGTCAAATTCACCCGCTGGTCTCGCGATTTGATTCGTTTAGACACTGTCGATGATATCGCAAACATCGACTAAGTTTAGTCGACTAAGTTTAGAAATAAAAACAAGTCGAAGTTGCTTAATAATAGCGTCTAACAAGATTCCATTCCATCGGCATTCCAAGCGCATTTTTAAATCGCCATTTAAAAAAATGTGCAATGCGCTTTGCCGTCTGTGAAAAGCTCCTTTTTCCGTCTGAATCGTTACGAAATCCTCCGGTATTTTCCCCTTTTTTCTACGCTCGATTGCTGCGAGTCTTGCGCGCGTGTATGAAAAGTGGGCAGGCTACTCGAACGATAATTACGGCCGTGTATGCACTTCATTAGCACTTACCAACGGTTGCGTAACGACCGGCGTGTCATTTTAATGTGAGCACGATCAAAGATTAATGGACGCGACGCGGCTGTTACAGAAGGATTCAAGAAAACCCGCGCGCGGGTCTCTCTTATAATCGACGGTGAATAAAAGGATAGGATCTCGAATTGAAAAAGATGAAACGACCAACCGCGACTCTACGATGTGAACGAATCATCTTTCGAGTTATTCGTTGACATCCTCCTCCTGAAAAACACAGTTGGCTTAAATTCGACTAATTTTTTGTCCAATTGGATCTTCTCTCGTCAGCGACGATGTAGACTTTTTGAAAGTATCAGATTATTTGCACGACTATGTGGACTTTGAGGGTGACAATTTATACAACCATTCCTTAAGGTTATTTACAAGTCCTTTGGGAAATATGTTTTCCTGTTTTGTGCTCTTTCTTTGCTTAAAAATTGCAATGCATCTCAATTCCCAACAAAATACATAATTGATATTTTAACTCTGAAATACCTTAATCTTTGTTGTACAAACAAGTATGTGCGTCAATAAATGAAGAAAAAAAATTCAATTCGTCAATCTTTCCTATCACAAAAAAAAAAAAAAAATTAATCTTAATTGTAAAACAGAATACGTCGATTTTAGTTATAATATATAAAGAGTTAAGAAAAAATTCCATTTGTCGAAAATTCTATTTTCTCTTAAAAATTAAAAGATGCGTACCACCCCCAACTTTAACACTAAAATATCTCAATTTCTATTCTACCGACGAATGAAAACTAAATTCAAAATCGACTCATTAGATCTGCATCATCGTTACACAATTGCCAAACTAATAAACAAAAGAAGTATTTAACAAATTAACAAACCTTTCAAATGCATCAAAACATACAGCAACATTTCATCTGCGTGACTATTACAATATGCAATGAAACACTGAGCTCGTCGATATGACACTAGTATAGGAATGTGCAAACTAATGCATCGCAGCATCGAGTGGTTAATCGTAGAGAGTGGTTTATCGTCATACAACTTTTCTCTCTCTCTCTCTCTCTCTCTCTCTCTCTCTCTCTCTTTTAATATGTGCTGTGTATAGTCGCGAAGTCGCAACAAGTCCATAGTATTAATAATGATCATTAATTCTTGATCACCTCTAACAGATTTTTTTTCTCCAGTAAAATCCGTTCGTATGAGTGAAGAAGAACGATCACGCAACAAATACGATATTAAACCTCGTTAAATTATCAAGACGTGCAACACGTGTTCTTTGCAATTGCTCATCGCGATTAATGAAGACGTTCTTACAGCAATTGTGACAACGACACAACTTGTTCTTGTTTCTCTCCTCCTTAAAGACATCGTACAAGACAAGAAAACGCGTGGAATTCGGAGCATCTCGCTGGAGGAACTGTGAGTTCAATGGAAGAAATCCTTCGAAAAAATGAAATTTGCTAGAGGATTGTATTACAGCGCGTAGTAGACACTTGAACACGGGGAATTTTCTTTTTTATCGTATCTCGTAGCGAGGTTTGGTTTTAAGAGTCTTAAAATAGTCGAGTTGCTAGAGAATACGATTCAGCGCAGTTCAGTTATTGGTCTTAATTCAGTTCGACCTGTTTGGCTAGTCATCGTCCTAATCGAATCACACTCGCGTCATTCTGATAGTTTCGATACTCCTTTATACAGACTTGAGAGACTCTCGTTTTCACTAATCAATTTCCCGCAAACGACCGTCACTGCTTTCTTTTTTGAAAAGAATTGTATAGACAGTTGTAAACTTTGTAAAATATTACACGTTAAATCAACGGAAGAGTCAAGATCTTATGAAAAATTACAAGAGTTACAGTTCGTTAAAAATACTTTCAGATCGTTTCAATTGTCTGTCTGAATTTTCAAACATATCGATTGCCACAACGTCTCCATTTATCAGTTCTTACTTAACGAATCTTACTTAATTTTTCGAACTGAATATGTAATTAATTAAATAATTACATTGAGATACGCGCGCGAGAAGTACGACTGTTGTTTCGAGACCGCTGTAGCTCTGTATGCACCACACAAACCTCTCTAGAACCGAATTTGTCGCCTCTTATCAAACAAATTCGGATCTACAGGGTAGATGTAGAGCATTAACTGGGCCTTCTCATATCGGCACAGAAATCTTACGATACAGAAACCTTACTCTTTATGCTTCTTTATGATTTTTAGTAATGCACGTGCCGCTTTTAACTTCTTCGTTGGCCCAGTATGTGATCGACGATGTCCAACTTTCATCTAGAGTTGATTCATCCGACCTGAAAATATTTTCAAATTAACGTTGGATTTCACAAGCTCGGAGACTAACTATAGGAATTTCTTAAGCCCATTTTAACAGATATTACATCTTTTTAGAAATTTGCTGTTGTCTAAGAGTTACGTTTCGATTCGAATCGCTTTGTTCCTATTCTGAGAAACAGAGAGTTTTTCAAAGGATTCGATAAACAGTTAAAATTGGCGCTCTCACTAGCCTGGATCGAGAGTGCTGGAAGTGCAGAGTCATTCGAAAATAGACGTATAGTGCCGAGTCACGGTTTCAACCAACAGGGAAGCATCTATTTCTGCTAAACGTGCCGTGAAACTTTAACAAGAGAATCTTAGTTAGATCGCAATTTACAAAAAGAAATTTTAAAAAGAAGCTGAGCAATATTAGAGGAAAAAAAATTTCATTTTACCGTTAACATTGCTAAATGTCTAGAATTCTACGTTTAAAAAATCCTATGTATTGTGTAAAAATCTATTATATTTCCATCTAAGTTTACCTAAACTCTAACCCCTCAATAAGCCATAAACTTACTGTGATCTCAAGATCTAAAAACAGATAATAACTAATACTCTAAAAAGATTTCAATTCTTAATCAAAGTTTCTGAATATGAATGTACATAGAAAAAAATTATACATTCAGAAAGTCTACCTTTTGTCTAAAACTTCACTATACTTTTCTCTAAAGTAAAAATCCATCCCTCGAATACAACAACCCAAACCTCTTTACGCAATCAGACAATACTCAACGATTTAACAAAAAGCATCCTGTCGTACTCTTCAAGAAACTTTGCAAACATGAATCGAGTGGAAGCTTTTAAAAGCAGGTCGCGAATCAACGAAGCAAGAAACGCAATGGCGGCACTGATTCTTCATTCGTTAGTTCTCTATTCGGTGGCTTCGATACGCTGTTAAAGATAAATCTTGTTATGTCACTTGGCACACTTCTCGGGCGTATATCATAGCAGGTTATCTTAGCGACAATAATCATATTACACCTGCACTACCGATAGTGATTGATGCTCGTCCCTGGGTTCGAAAGCACCTGAGCGTTAACGGCTCGCGGATGACACAGCTGAATGCAGGCAAGGTCGTGTTCTCCTTAGTCCTCTTAGTCCTCTTTCTTCTCTTATTCCTTAGCGGTACTGCTCCTTTTATTTGAGCACGCGTGTCGATGTACCTTGCATTTCCAGGTTACTTGGTCATCGCCGTTGTGTTTATCTGAAAATCATCGCGCGAGTCTTGTTAGATTTGTTGTCTTTCCATCGAGCTTCATTGTATAAGTGACAATCAAAAGCGAGTCGATTTTTTAAATGGATTTTGTTGTTAGAATTTTAAAGAAGAGAAGAGAAGATAATGGTGGAGAAAGATTGAGTCGTGTGATTTCACTCGAACGTGTGAAACACTTATGAAAGTTAGTTGCATTGTATCAAATTAACATTCTGAAAGTATTTTATTTGCAATTTAACAAAAGGATTTTAAAGGATTGAAGCTGCTAAGAAGTAGACTGTGGATTTAATTGCAAAGATGCAAAATGCACAAAAAGCATGCATAAAACAACATATGAACCAGACAATATATAAAATATTCAAAGTATACTAGTTATTACAATATTTAACAATAATTAAATATTTTAAGTCTAATTATAATTATATATCTAATTATAATATTTTAAGTCTAATTATAACCATTATATATTTGTATTCGCTTTTTAAATGATAATTTGTAGGATTAGATGTGTCAGTTTATTCTAAAAAAATAGCTCTGTAGATTGTCAAAATATTTAACTCTGGATCACTTCGTTCGGAAAATTAAAACCGATAGGTTTACGAAATTCTACGAGGGTTAATCCTCTCGAAATCTCTCGATTCTTCTTCCCTGTACCAATTGGGATTAACTCGAATTAAGGCAGGTCAAGTCATAGATCTGGGGTCTAAGTCAACCTTATTTCTATAGTTAAAAAGCTTTAGAATTTTGAAAGCTGGTTAAAAAGAAATACTGCTTCATCTTTGAAAACTTCTAGCTAATCTTTGATTGCCAATATACAAGTACTCAAGGGAAGAGAAATTGAGCGGTTAAAGAAGAAGATTATATTCTAACAAGCTGTTGAAATTTGTCAGAAACTTTAGTCTCTTGAAAGGACGAACTCCGATGGTGGCATTCTAAACGATTCCTCGGGTACATATTTATTTCTGAGCAGACACTGATTTATTCCCATGGGAAGTCTGGATCTCTCCATGGGGATCAATAAGTCAACAGTTACGAATAAGAATCTAAAAAATTTCCTTCCATTCTAAGCTGATTATTTGTAAAACCATCCAGACTTTTTGGAACTAGCAATAAAAAAAAATTATACTGCAATTACATAATTTTATCTCTCATAATGTATCATTCCAAATATATCATTCTCTAAAAGATTTTTACAATATATAACACTCTCTTAAAGTAACCAAAGGAAATATACATTTTAAACTTTATGAAAATTTTCCACTTTCATTTTTCGAAACTAAATAACTGAAGATGATATTCACGGGCAGATTTTTAACTGAAATCATATTTGAATTTCAGAATAAAAAAACTATAGAAATTGAATAATGATGCTACTGTTTAACGTCACATGATATTCAACGATTAGTGATCGATAACGTTATCGTGGAATCATATGATTTTCAGTTGTTGCAGATTCGTAATAGAAGCTGCTAGTTATTGGTGAAAGCTACTCTCAAAAATATAATTACTCCCGAAAATTCTAAAAAATTTACTTCAAATTTTTTCCCAACTGCAAAGTACTCTCTAGAAGACCATTGAACCAAGACGAATAGAAAATCATTGACCAAAAACGAGACATAAAATTTTCCAAAAATCTTCCCCTTGAAGGCATGTAGAGGGCGTATTCGTGCGGGAAAAGCACGGCATTTGATAGGTGGAGCGTCGTCGAGTTTCACGGCGTCTCCCTCTATCGATTCACCCTCTGGCACGCCATTACTGACTACGAGGGTCGACGCCGGCGACCCTATTATCGTCGCTCCCCTGTTCGCATAATTATCGACATTAGAAACTGTTGCAGCACTGCCGTCGGAACTTTTCTCACCAGGCCTGACTTATAATCACATAATGGAACTCGCGGGAAAACTATGATACACGCGCCAACTCCGATACTTTTGAAAATGCGATCCTCGCCGTGTTGTGCATAATAAGAAAATATATTACTTGTAAAGTTAGAAATAGAGAAAGATTCAACAGTTCTTGTTGTTATCTACACTGCTAGACTTTTAAACATTCATGAAATATTTGAGGGTGCAAAAATGCACATAATATAGTTGAGATATATATTTTAGTAAGGAAAGTAAGTATTGTTATTTAGTAAATGAGACAGATCACTGCTTAGATCCCACATGGTTCACAAAAATATGAATTCACATGAATATTCTAAACATTACATTTGAAATAATAAATTCCAAGTTTAGACAACAAAGTAGAGTACCACGCTTTTGCATATGAATTTTGAAAAGTTCAAATTTCTCACTGAGAACAAAGGAAAAATTTGGAAAATTGTGAGAACGTGAGATTATCATTACCTGTGATACGACACTGATACCAGAAAGCCAGTTCCGTTTATTAGATCGAGATTTATAATAGGACGGTGATTAAAATTTGCTCCTGAAATAGAGTACGGAGTTAACTCAGATTTTCGTTTCCTTTCATTTCTACTTACGTACCTTTCGATTGCATACACGGAGATCGAATACCGATAGGAAATGTCTTGATTCTAACCGTTGCAGTCATTTTTCAATACCTAAAACGAACGATTCGAATATAACGAAAGTTTCTCTTATATCGGAATTTACGTTTGACTAAGTCGAAGGCGTGGAATTAGATTCGTTTGAAATGTACAGAATATAAAGAACATAAATGATATATAGAGTACCATGTAAGTGGCGATAAAAGCAGCCGAGTCAACATCAATCAACCCTTTCACCGCTCGAGTTCCTCTTCGGGCAATCGACATCCGCGCCCTATTCCCGCTGAAAAATAAATCAATCGTCAAACTTTTACGTCATCAACGCGCTTTTTTAGACAAAAACTTTCACTTTCACGTGACGAACGTAGAAGTATATCTTTACACTCGTAAATAGAGGCACAAATAAATTGAAAAGTAAGACGCCATAAACGACGCTCCGAAAAGTTTCTTCTTTTCCAGACAAACATTATTAAAACTCTCTTTTTTCCTCCTTTACATTAGTTACGCATAAACAACTATAGAAAATGAGGAGCACGATAGACACAATTCCAACCTTTAAAAACATAGACATATATTTAATTGTCACACACAAATTCTTAACGGCTCCTAAAAATACACAGAGACACGTGCAATTGTTGGAAAAAGATTGAAAAACGCTATTGCACCATTCACTGTACACCAATTAATGAATTCAACTAAGCCCAAACTTTCCAAGTCTCAACGATACTTCTCATATCCGAGACGCTTGACGATCAACGTACCCGTCGTATCATGGTCGAAGGCGAGTAGATAAGGCCCGGGTGGTTAAGTTCTGAACGCGAGGAATACAAAGAGGAACACCGGCTGGTCTGATGGCTGGACGGGACGTGATGGCTGAACCGACGAATAAACCAATAAACGGCGCAACCATCTGCTTGCCAGCCGGCACATCTCTGTCTCTGTTTCCGTCTCTTTCTCTCTCGTTCCACGACCTTCCGTCCTCTCCATTCTTCTCCCCTCGGTCGTTCTCTCTTCCACACCGTCGAATTTTCTCTCCCTTTCTCTCTTTCTCTCTCTGTTCTCGTTCCCCTTGCTCCAACAAGCACCGTCGTCACTGGCAGCAGCACCATTTTATGCGATCCTGAAATGAAATCCATGCGAGAGGGCTCAGCATTCGTGGGGAACTCCCGCAGCTTTTATTCCACGACAATGAACGGAGCCATCCACAGCTTCCCCCGTCACATTTTCGCTCTCTCTCTCTCTCTCTCTGTCTCTCTCTCTCTCTCTCTCCCTTGCTCTCTTTCTTTCTTTCATCTGGTGAAACGCAATTTTCGGATCGTGCCGGAATTTCCAGCGATAACGCGGGCCCTATGAGTTTCCTAAGGGAAACCTCCTTACATTTTCTACCCTGTATAGTTTTTCCTGTTTTCAAGGCTGGAAGAGGCAAGTTGAGGTTACGAAAGATAGTTGGATGGTTAGATAGGCAGTCGATCGTGGAATTGTTTCCTATCGATGGCACTGCGAGATGAAAGTTTGCGTAACAGAGGGATGATGACCGTGCTTGATGGCGCTCTTCTAATAATTGATTTCTGCAGATTTTTCAATGTATCTTTTGAAGAGTTTGGTTCACCGTGGATATTTCTGTGCATTTGCAGAGAAGATAATGCATGAATTCAGAGAATCCGCACATATATATAAAATAATATTTAAAGTTCAATTTTCTACGTAGGTTTCTATTCACAGGAATATAAATTTGCGCAAATGATAGTTGCTGAAATAAACAATACATTTTTCTGTTTATGACAGATGGCGATTCCGGTTGTTAGAATTAATTTTTTAAGATTTTTCGGAATTTTTCAATCAGATATTGTATATGTTTATGTTCTGAAATAAATGAAAAATTATATTACCACATGAGAGTATAATTCACGTTTCTCTTTCCGTCTGAATTAGGGGATGACCATAATTGATGACGGTTCTCAATGTTGGGGCTGATTCTTGTATATTTTTAACAGTTTAAAAGAGTCACTTCACATACTATCAGTATCTATGTACTGCTTATTATATAGAGCGTAATTATGAGTCATGTTTATATTTTTCTGTTAACTTAAACGTATTCTTAATTTGACACGATAAAAATTATTACACGATGTTTAATACAAGCTTAGAAAGAATACACGGTAACCAGATCTTAGATCCTTCAACCGTAAGCAATCCGAGACCGAGACTATACATTATTCATGTTAATTAAACTTAACGAGCCTAGGTATACTCGAAGAATATCAGAAAGAATGCAAACACCTTGTATCTATTATAATAACATCTGTACTGAATATTTAGTAATAACAGAACATGACCAGAAAATATGTAACTGAAACCGGCAATCCTATTTCTCAATATTTAAATTGGCGTGTTGTAATACAATGAAGTAATACGTAATGTAACACAGTGTAACACAGGAAGTAAAAAATGAATATACATCTTGGAGGAACGAAATTTGTCTAACATTCTCTGGATTACGTTATCTAAAGATTGTAATGGATAACTAGTTGACTTAGAGTAGTCTGTAGTAATCAGTCTTTAACTATTTTTATGGTATGCTTTGGATCTCAAACTAATAGACTTGAATGAATTCGATTTTAAAATATTTCAATATAAATGTAATTCATAGTACTGTTAATAAAAATTTATTGTTTTTGCGTCTGTTCTATATTTTTTTATACTTATATGTGTACACATAAACATCCTTTAGTAATATACTTCATAAATATTGAACGAATTTTTGTTAGGTATATACTTATTTTTGATTATCGTTAAAATTGTTATTTAAAAAGGAAAAAGATGAGAATTTTGCAAGGAGTGAAAGTCAGCAAGAGTCAAATTTCGAGATTTCAAAGGTAGGAGGCATGTCGGCCGACGAATCGAAGGTCGATCGACCACCATTATTCTCTGGCTATTAACTACAAAGGTCCACGATACCTGCTCCGAGCCAAGACGAGGAAAAAGTTGAACAATAGTATACACCGAGCACCCCTGTTACACTGCAGCAATAAAACTATGGTGCGTTCGTAAAACCGGACGCAGAATTCTCAGAAAATTTTCGAAGGCCCGTTAACTTTCCCGTAACAGAGTATCCAACATTTGTCGAAGAGAACGATGAATAGATCGTTGGAAGAAAACGATAAACACAAAGATTTATTTGGAAAAAATGTTTTGGAAAAAATGTTTCAGGGAAAACTGCAAGAAAATTTTTGGAGTAATTCTAAGGTTCATGCTTCTTGAAAACTTCAGAAAAATGATTACTTCAAATTTAAAATTGTATTCAGAGATGCAAGACGAAATTTGGAGAAAATTGAAAGACACTTCGACGCCTTAGGAAAAATAATCAAATTAAAAGACAATCGATGAATTAAATAAATTTTAAACCGCAAAAAGAGTTGCACTTCAAATTTTGAATTTTGCGTGAATTTCGAATTGTGGCAAATTGTTTTGAGAGTTATGGTCCATTCCTGACATATATAAATTAATAATTAAAAAAGAAAATGGCCAAACGATGCTACTTCAAATTGAAAACACACAAGATTCTTATATATGATTGTTTAAAATTTATTTCGATCGTAAAATGCAGTATGGTTCGCGGTAGACTAATTAGTATCGATGATAATTTTTTTTATTAAAAATCATGTGTACAAAAAAAAGTGACGGATACGTGAGCCCGGATGAATTAACGTGCAGTTTGTAGCAACGCGCATCGGTGTCAGTGGTGGTAAACGACTTGTGCCCATATGGCGAACTATAAAAGACTAACGAGACCTCGTTGCGAGTCCCATGGTCGAATTGCGGCGCGTGACGTCACTTCTCGCGGAAACGTGTTAATTTATTGCAGCGACGCTTTAATTTCTTGGCTCCAGTCATCGTGAAATTGCGCGGAAACAACGGAAAAGCTCCATGGGGAGACATGCATTAAAATTCAGTTTCGTCTTCGTAAAAAGAAATTCCTATTAAATTCTCAGAACTCCACATCTATCAAAGCTTGAAATCTCTAATTCATCATTAAGCCCCGGAATTCCGCGTCTTTACAAATTTTTAAATATTTCAATTCCGTCACATCCTGAAGATATTTAAACTATTAAAATATTTATAAAAATTGATAAATTTTTAAATCTCTGTTTCTCTGTCAAAATTCTTCATATTTGCAAATCTTCAAATATTGTGATTTAATGACGTTTTATCTTCTATCGGGAAAGGAAAAAATTATTAAACTCGTCGATCTAAATTTCTATCGAAGTTCAAAGCGCAAAAGGCTTAAAATTCGCTTCTTATTCACATTTTTCAAATGTAGAGTTACGTATTTAAAGAAAAAAAAATAATAATAATAATAACAAAGAAGAAAACTGCTGTCTCGATTTCATTCATTTTTCATCGACGTTTTCACCGCGATAAAGAATCGACAAGTCGTCACGCAAACTCTCGGATAGATGGATTGTTAAACGTTTTAACAGTGAAACGTGCAGCTGTACATTTCAATGAATTCACCGGTCAGGGTTTAACTTTCGTTGAATCTGCATCGCGCCTACGCTTATTTCCATTTCATTGGAATAAAAACAACATTCTGACGGGATGTTGTACCGAACGATCTCGCGTGTAGTTATGTTAAAATATTGAAACGGTTATTGGCTCGTATTTCAGACATGATTGCCGACCGAAAATTGGATCGGGTATTCTGATTCTGGTATCCTATTTGCATTTGAATTTCGAAATCGGTTAAATTATGCTTGAATATATTTTATACTTCTACCAAGCAACATTTATCAAACTCGAAATTTGAAAATACTAAAAATTAATGTGTAACTACGAAAAGTATTTTAAACGGCGAATGAACATAACCAAGTCTTTCTTATTCGAACTTAATATCTGAAAATTGTATTACAAGAACAGAATGTCACGTAATAACTGGAAAAACCATGTATTACTAACAGATATTGAAATATTTGAATGATAGAGGTTCGTATAAGAAATATAAAAGGTTCTGCTGCAGATGATTTTAATATAAAAATGAGATTCTCTAGGAATAAAAACTTACAGATACGAAATTTGAAAATTGTTAAATTTAAATTTAATAAAGTGGCTACGTAGTGTAAAGTAGTTGTGAATAGAGTTACAGCGTGTCAGGACGGCACATTTAACAGATAAAAACACGTTGAAAGATTGTGAATGGTTCCTTCAGTGTCCAAAAATCACGCACCTTGTATTTCCGAAGACATCGATCATCCGACAGTTTGTCACGTCATGCCATTTTTTGTTCATTCAGTAGCAGATTCACCGAACCTGCCGATATGTTTTAACTAATTTACCACACTGAAGAAACATGTATCGTATAGATCCATTTCACAGTGACAACAGGCCGATTTCAAGGCAAAATCGAGATAGAAATGCTTGAATAATCGATTGAAACGTCGACTATTCTTTAAATTTTTTTCATGTTATTTTTATACATCTTGGCAACTTATTTACGGATCTAAATGTCTATTTCAGGTTTCAACTTTCACGAGTTTGCTAATCTCTAACACATTTTTACTCTATGATTATCGGAGAAATAGAATATTCTTTAAATAAATTAAGATTCGAAGACTGAAGATACAAGGATTCCTAAAGAAAAATCATTGAAAACTGTAAATTAATTAAGCCAGAAAAAAAGATAGACCACTATGACGAGTGTGCTGTCGAGTTTAAGAATCGGTAGGCTAGACGTGGAATGTGGACCGATCGAGTCCTTGATTAAAATCATAGCCGGTTTGCTCTCGCGTTTACGTATATACTGAATACTATTTTTTTTTTTCTCGAAAACAGCTTATTAAACACGTATAGTGTTGCGAATATAACTCGTGACATGTTTGATAATGAAAGTAGATTAGAGTTAGTTATTTAAATCAGACGAGACTTTTCCGCATGAAAGAATATGGTAAGAAGATAATTTTCTTACAGTTCATAAATTTTGAAATATTATAATATCTACGTTATTGAGTCGCGCTAATAACATAAAAAAATTCGAACGTGTACTGGAATTCTACGATACTGAAGTCGAAAGTGCGAAAATCGAAGAACAGTAACTAGAGTAACTGTACATTGCTGCAATACTCGAGTAACAATGAATCGGTATCTTTGACATCTCATGTTCTACATATTCACACATAATAAGCATACGCCGTTAAAAAATTGACTCTGATAAGAATATTTCAAAGACAAAACTCTGATAAAAATATTTCAAAAAACAAAACTTCTGCACGAAACTTATTCTATTCTACGTAATAAATATCTCGATTATCGAATGATTGATGCATCCAACTTAGTGAAAGCATTTTAAGAGCAACCTCAAGCTTACAAAGAATATAAAAAGAAACCTACAGGAAATCTTCCTGCAAATACTGGCCACCTAAAGCTACGAAACTGTCGAGAAAAAATGAAACAAAGTTATTACGAGGGATTGTCGATCGATCGGAACGATGTATAATTCCGCGGTCATCTTTTCGTTGGTTACGAAATGAACCAAAACCGAAGTGTGTCGTGGCTGAGAAGCAGATCGATCGGCCTCCCGCCAGATTCCGAGATGCTGACCAAAACTCATGAAATTCACCACCGTCGGCGCCACTGAGCTGCCTTTTCGTCTCTTCCAAATAAAAATATAAGGACCAACCGGTCCCCGATCCAAGACTTGACTCACCGGATCATTCATCTTTCGCAAAGATTTCTAGAGACCTTAGTTACTTAGTATTCTTTCTATAATTTTATCATTGGCAAATTAGTAACGCACAAGATCGTATAAAAGGTGAAGTTAACAATAATAAAAGACTTGTATTTGAAGTCTAAAGTATTTAGATTGAATTGATGTGCTTATACAGTTAATACTTTAACGTAGAATTTGTAATAGGAAATTGGCATGAATTAATGTATGCTTTATGTATATAGTCTTATATTAATGAAATTCTTTGACTTGATAGATAATATTTCTCGAAATTGAATTATGCTTTATCAGTTACGTTTCATCGTAAAATGATAGGCCATGAGGAAGACACATGTAGATTAGATTTGACTGTTTTTTAATTAGATAAAATATAAGAACTTGTTAGTGTGTACGATTATTCATAGAGTGGAACTGTATTGTTTATAATGAATATAATGTTTATTTGATGTTATAGAATATTGAATTTTAATAGAAAAGTTACTGTATTTTGTTAAATTTTGCCACGAAATAAATATAATCGCCATTTGAAACAACGAAAGAACTTATAAATAAATTGTTAGATAAAATACACAGTATATAACTTATAAATAGATTGTTAGATAAAATACACAGTATTTTAAAATTGGAAGAATAAAAAATAATATAATTCTATGGAACAAATAAACAACAAGATTGTGATTTAAGCGCAAGGAGTATCAATTATCATAAATTAGGCTACGTCACTGAAAATGGTATACTTACTGAAAAATATCGGTTCCTTTGCAAATATTTCTCAACATCTGACTGAAACGTTGCTAGACGTTCCAACAAAATTTCCATCATCCCTTGAATCGTCTGCAAGATGGTAGCAATGGATTCTCCACGAGCCTGCGCTCTGAGGGTTGAAAACACATGCATTAACATCGACATACCATGACCTCTTAAAGTATCTTCATATTCTCCTACAATTAACCTCAACAGACATATCATCACCAAGAAATGGCAGACAAAATCAGAAATATTATTTGTTTCTTCAATGTATCTTCATGATTGACAATTAGAAACATCAAAAGATCACTATTCACTCGGAACAGAGAACAAATTTGCCCGTAAGAAAATTTATCAATTTATCGATTTAGAGAGGAAAATTACTTCGTCCATTCAGTTACATCTCTTCTATTTTACTATTAGCAAGGGCAAAGGACACTCTAAACATCACAACACACCATTCTCTTCTTTCCCTTTAGTTACACTTCGATCTCAAGAATCTCAAGTACCGATTACATAGACGGGATTTTGAATCGATCACCGTTTCTCAGTGGTTTGGTTATTTAAAATGATACTTTATGGAGACGTTTCGACACAGTGGAAGTACAATGCGACGATCACGGATCACGCACAAGCGCCATGAGATGTGGATTTGGCGAGTTTGCGTGGTAGGTAGCTGAATCGACGCTGGGCGTCGCCATCACGGGGTTGAAACGAGCAAAATAGAGCGGGGTGATGTTGCTTCAGAGCTGGAGAAGGGGAAATCCGACGCGGTTTCACTAACAGGCAGTGGCGTGTCCGATCAGCTCCACGGAGACCTGCAGACTGTTCCATGGCCCGGCCTCGTCCCTTCTCGGGCCAGGAACAGTCATTAACATAAATTGTCTTTAGTGACAGTTATATCCACCACTCTTCGCCGGAATCTCTACCGAAATAATATTAGGTTGCGGAATTTCTGCCCTTTGGACTCGTAACCAATTCGAATTTTTTTTTTTTCTCAAATCTATGCATCAATGGACCTGGAGTGTATACTGATTAAAATAACCAAACTATCTTTTATTGTATAAACTGTAAAGTGAATATAACAGATACAAATGTTAATTATTAATATTTAGAGATATGAAATATTATACTTGCTTTGTAGCATCAATAAATTAATAATTAAATGTTACAGAACTAAAAAATATTTTTATATCAATTGCCATTTAGTCAATTATTAATTATTTATTCAAGTGTGTGATTTGTATGTAATTATTTAACTAATTGTATAATCATTGGACCTATGTTCAATAGTGTTTAAAATGATTCCTGATTGAAGTATGTTTTTTGTGCTAGCTATTGAATGATGCTAACGAAAATGTCTTCAGTGGTCTCCTTTGTCCTTCGTAATCAATGTGTGCCAAAAGCTTCTTCAAAGCGATAAGATTCTCTCTTAGTAGATAAAAGAAAACAAAAATAGACGAACAAAATCTGCGATAATTTAATGTATTAACTTGTTTGGATCGAGACTTTCTTTTATCTATTATGCATTAAGAGTAGCATAGATTGTTAACGCTACAATTTATTCTTTGGAAGAAAAAATACATACACGATAAATATATACGGAAGATTGCGATTTAATAGAAAAAAAATTATATTTATGGACTGTTCGAAATAAAATCCCAGCAAATACGATAAATCGAAGTGTAGAATACCGTGGATTCGACGTGATAGAGTTTTATTTTAAAGTCATCTATATGTCTATCAATTGTACCACATAGATTGTGGCATTTTGATTCTATTTATATTCCGCATTCCTCATAGCAGTAACTCGATCGTGATAGTAACCATGACCTTGAGCTTGTCGACGTATTCGGATAGACAGTCTTTGAAGACTGCATAGTCACGAATAAGTATTCGAGTCATTGATCATGATTGCGAGATATTTCAGCACGACAGCCGATATTGTTCGCCGTGTCTGGATCATAAAGTCAGCAAACCTTCAAATTTGAGATTTAAATTTGAATATGTAATATTATTTTAAAAAAACATTCTCTCTCTCTCTCTCTCTCTCTCCCTCACTCTCGAGTTCGTTGTTTTATTCTTAATCTATATTTTTATCAACATTAATGCATATTTGAAGATCAACCAGAGAAATATGATATTTCAAAATAAGGAAAATATTAATTAAAAAACAAATTTTTTTAATAGAAATTAGAATTATGTTATTAATTATATTTAGTTTACAATTACAAGTAGTATCATTGACTAATAGGACAGACCGGACATCAACTAGGATTTCGTATCTTAGAATCTGACATACCGACCAGGAAAAAAATCACTAGTTTCTTAGCGCACTCTACGTTTCAGCAACGGTGAATTGGAGAACTATGTCGAACAAAATGGTATAAGCTGGTTAGGTAAAATCACAGACGAGGCATATGAATAGACATTGCATACAATCATTGACTAAGAAGATGAACTGGACATACAATGCTTTTTCTTTATCCTATTCTTGGTCAATGATAAAACGTATTTTTTTGGTCACGAGGTCATCGTAACCTCAACACCATTATTGTGTTACATCCTGACGTACCGATTCGGGCAGACTTTGCACCGCAACACAGTTTCAATTTTATACCAAACACGAGATATATGAATATATCGAGGTATATACCTCGGCAGTGCTTTAGTCAATATCCACATGTATCTAAATTAATATGTTTTCCTACTATACCGAACATCAACTTTACCGCAGTTCGGTAACTGATCATGGGAAATACCGCCATTGTCCAATTAGAACAGATCGGGAAACCAATGCTTTTTCATATCCCAAGTCGCAGAACAAGTAAATGAATAAACATTGCCACAGAGGTATATGAGTATACGATATATGAGTCATAAATCTCGAATGCGACATTGCATCAATGTATTTTTTCGGCTACATCCTGTCGTACCGATTCGGACAGACTTTGCACCGCAGCACTACTAGTGATGAGAATTAAAATCAAAAAATATGGACAGTGTTGCCAGACCTGTTTCGAGAATTATTCTTTGAACTGAACGTGGTGGTATTTCATTAATGAAGGAATATAACGATTAACTAATTTTAGTTAGTCATAAAATAGTTAATCTCTGTAAATTCAATGTAAGCACATTCCGCAGAATGATACACTTATCGCTATAATATGTGTGAAACAAAATTCATTTTTAAATATGTAAAATATTTTACATAAAATATTTTATCAATTCTAACTTGAAAAGAATTATTTTCAATTTGAACTTCTAATCTTAAAACTCTTTTACTGTTCGTTTGTACAATAATAAGAAATTGTTAACATTCTGCAGTCGTATATCAGAAGGAATTTCTTTTTTCTTCTTTTTTTTTTTTGTTGAATAAATCTTTTTAAAAATCAGAGAAGAGTGGATGGGATACGGATGGGTTGATACGTAGCAACCTCAATGTGGAGGTTACTCTACCAAACTCCGTAAAACAGAGAAATTTTTATTTGCGAAAAAACCTAATTTAGCGAAATGAATTGTGAACTTTTGTGATTGTATTACCCTAATTAGACCCTTGGCTTCCTTTTCATACCTCATTTGTCCCGTAAAATGCAGAAATAAGTATTTTTATATTTAATTAGTACCAGTGAGTTACTGCTAGATGGCGCTACCATGTCCATTTTGTAACAGTTCGCACTAATTGTTAAAAAAACCTAATTAAGAGGAATAATTTGCGAACTTTTTTATATGCTTCCTTAGAATGAGTTTCCCCGCTTTCTTTCTATGTGTGTTTTGTCTTGGAGAAACGTGTGTGTAAAAAGTTGAATTTTTTTTTCAATAGATCGAAGGTTGTCCTTCTCGCACACAGTTGTCTTCCTTGTCTAGCGTCATGAGACAAGGAGAGCAACAGCGTGCGACAAGGACAGATATCTAATCGTGCTGTAGACAAGGAGGGTAACAATGGTAGACAAGCACAGACATATACAAATTGTTTTAGAGGATTAAATTGCAAACTTTTGTAATTTTACCTTGTTAATAAGATCCCCAACTTTTTTTTTATACCCCGTTTTAAGTCTAAGATGCGCAAATAATCATTTTTGAAAATAATTAGTACCTCTAACTGTTAATAGATTACCATGGGTACATCATGTAAAAACCGAGTCAATTTGCACTAATTGTTGAAAAATTCTAATTCAGAGGAATGTTTGAAATAGCATCGTCTGTTAGGACTCTTTTTTTTGTATGTTCCATTTACGTCTCAAGATGCATTAATGAGGATTTTCAATTTTTGTCATTGCTAAATAGGATAATTCAGGGTGGAAGTGCTAAGGAGTGCTTACGTAAATATTTTCTGTTCCTTTGTGTCACTTTGTAGCAAAATTTGCTCCCTAGCTAATCCCTAATTTACTCTTATCCTACTTTAAATGTTTCTCATTACAGGAGCAGATAACCTCGACGTATTTTACCTTAAACCATGGATTTCTCCTTTTAGAATGTTTCTTCCAAAGCCTCCTATGTTCAAGTTGCTCTGCAATCATAGTTCCATATACAAGCAATCATATTAAACTCCATCGAGGTACTGCAATTCAAGAATACATTGTTTAAATTGGCAAGCTTATACCTGTTGAACATCAGATTTATATTTATATTATAATTTCTCAAGGCTGAGAGTTTGCTTATTGGGATATTAAGCACAAATCTGACAGGATAACTGACAACCATACAAAAGTAAAGATCAACTCTTACTACCTAAATATTCAATCATTCATTTTTAAATCCAAACGATTAATATTATGTAATGTATGCCCTATAATTTTGCCTTGAATCATTTTTAAAGAGTTTGCTGACACAATGAGATCCTATCTCCCAAATCATCTTCATTGGATTAGGATAAATGATCCAGGATACACACATATCTTGAGCTTTCATTGTCAGATGTCAACTCCAAATCCAAAGACAGTCTAAACGTAACTAAATCCATCCAAATAAATTAAAATAATACATCTTATTAGATATCGGAAGAAAAGTAACTTGCTTGTAATGCAGGAAATAGGGTTAAATTCTGCAAAAATTCTTCACTGTTTTTGCACAACTCTAGCTGATGTCACAGTGAAATAGTTATTGATCTAGTTGTCCATGAACAGCCAAAATCTTTTCCTGCCTTATCTCCATTCCAGATTTCTGCTACATTAAATACATAAATTGGCAGCTGAAAACATCACAAACCATCCTTTTGCCAGCCCTAAGATGGATCAAGGAATAGTTTACTAACTTTAGCTCTTCCAACAACTCTTTTAATGATTTGAGTGTTGTAAAAGATAACAATAGATGTGAAGTTATTTGTTTCCACCAAAGAAATCAATAAACTCAAAATAGCTAACAGGGCAGAAACTAGAAGACCTAGAAGAAATCTTGCTATTGCTGCCTGTCAAGGATTACATCTCGGATCCTACTCAAACTCAGTGAATTTTCAAAGTTGTCTATAGTTTCTACTAAACAAGTACAACAATCACAGGCTGCAACGTTAAACCACATAAGGGACATACCGGCTCTAATAATGATTCATTCCTTTTTTTTACAGAACATAAGATAAAAAGCCACATCACAAGAATTGTCAAACGCCTCAACAGTTCCTATTCAGAAGATGCTGTGAGTAAGGATTTCTCTCTTCTAGAAAAAGACTCCAATTAGATTAAAATTATTCATAGCTACACCTACTATATTGTTATGGGGGTTTTCTTCTGGAACTCAAGAAATCTTCACTCTAAGCACTTGGAAATTCAGTCAAATATGATATCCTCATCCTT